TGCTGCTCTGCACGGCCTTCATGGCCTCGGTCAGGGCAGCACTGGCCTTGGTGCCGTTGAGCAGGGCAGAGTAGAAGGCGTGAACAAACACCTTGGAGGCGGCCACGGGTACGGGCCACAGTGACACCAGCACGCACTGAGCCCCCGCCGCCAGGAAGGCCCGCGTAAGCCCCACCACGCCGTCTGCCGTCACCTTGCTGTTAGACTCCTGATACGACCTACAGGTGAAGAGCAAAAACGCAAAATATCAAAGAAGAGAAGAGGATCAGTAGTTGGAGCTGAGCTTCTAAACAGCTGCTCATCTGTTCACATCGCAGTAGGGGCACGGCTGTTGAACCTTTGGTATTCAACCTTATGTGCTTTGTTGACTTGTGAGCCTGTGGCTATGTAAACATGCAATGTATTTTATAATTTCCTGCTACTATCCATCCATCCATCCATCCATCCATCCATCTTCCAGCCACTTATCCTCATTGTGGAGAGCCTGGACTCTATCCCAGGCAGCTAAGGATCATAATTCTCCCCAAAATGGTACAGGAACTGCAGCTCTGAAGCAGAATAGGCTCAGCTCTGACATCATCCACCCCACCCGCCACTCACCCCAGCATGACCAGTTTGACGGGCAGCCTGAGGTCCAGGATGTCGGCTGCGGTGAGGAGGAACTCCTGCAGGGGCGGGCTGTCGCAGATGCTCTCCACGTCGCTGCTGTCGTCCAGCACACGCAGACCCTCTGGGATGGTATAGCTGCTCCCTAAGCTGCCCTTTCCGGCTCCTCCAGTCCCGGCTGCTCCCCCGGGGCTGGGCCCACACCCCTGTCCCGCCCCCTCCTGGGTGGGAGTGAGCACCAGGGCGGCTAGCTTCCAGGAGATGTGTGTGGCAAAGTGCGCGCACTCGGCCTGACCCAGGGCGGCCATGACACGCTCTTTGGTGGCGGCGGGGCCGGCAAGCGGCTGGCAGCCCAGCAGCTCTGCCACCATGTTGGCCTCCTCCTCAGCTGAGGGCATAGGCCCCCACAGCCAGCGGTCCATGACGGGCGGGGGCAGACGCGGATTGCCCACCACTGCGGCCATGGAGCCGCCGCCGCAGTGTGCCGGCGCCGGGCGCCGAAGGTGTGCCTGAGGACACGACATCAGTTTGTATAATAAGCCACTATATCAACAAACCAGCAATAATAAAGGAGTAACCCCTCCACTATTACATATTACCTAACAGCTAATCCATTACTTCTGCTATTTCCAGCATAAAATACAGTACAATGCTAATAAATCTACAATTAAAACATTATACAAGCACTTGCACCTTATCCATGAGTATTAATCAATTACAGCTCCTTATGTATTAATACACTAGCTAATGCATTAGGCTGTTAATTTTTATCAGTGAATATGAGGCAGGCAAAAATCTAAGCGGAACACTTCATCAGGCCATTTTAAGCACAGTTTTATGCACAATTAGCCAACTGCATGATCACCGGCAGAAAGACTAGTAATGTTTACCGGGAGAACTTCCAGGAGCTGAGAGCTAATGCTGAGTAACAGAGATGATTCTGCACTGGCTGTACTGGTTTCAGCTGGACTTGCCACTAAACGTGTCATTGATCAGAGGTTAAAGACTGGCACAGTAGCCCAAGAGCCTTGAGCTGGACCTGTGGCAGGTGGCAGGGTGGGTACTGACCTTGGCAGCGGCTCCCAGGGAGCGGATGGAGGGCACGGCGATTAGAGTAAAGCGCTCGTACAGATACTCGTTGGAGGAGCTGCCCTTGAGTAGGGCAAAGGGGATGAGGTACAATTCGCCCTCCAGAACCAACACCAGCTGCCTGTGGCGACCCACTGGACCACTGGAGTGCATCAGACCCTGGTGTGTGGGTGTGGGAGAGCAAAGGGGGGCTAGATCACTGCACAGCACAAAAGATTCATCCACAGCAAAATAAAACAGCAAATCATGGAGCAAACCCAGCCGAACTATAAATCAAAGATTCACGTCATCATATCAATAAGGAAAACGTCCACAAAAGCCAGTAGGTGGTATAGTGGTTAAGGAACCAGATTTCACGTTGCATTTCAGTGCGAATGGTGTAAGTGACACTCAGTTTGAATAAGATTATCTAAAAATCAGTGTAATGTATTTCAGCACAACAAACCATCATGCTAAAGTTTTCAATCCTGTTGACAGCACCCCCCTCCAGAATGAATGAATGAATGAACAAATATTATATATATCATTTCAACCTTAATCAGGCTCAGATGATACTTAATAGGCTAATGACCAATGTGGCAGGTTGAAAGCAGTGTGGAGGGGGGGGGGGGGGGACACCAGTATTAGCCTATTAAAACCACATAAGCCTGATTAAGATAAGGTTGGAATTAAAACAGGGGGGGGGGGTGGGGACACCAGGAACAGGGTTGAGATGCGTTCTTGACCGTATTTGTGTTCTTGTGTTCCCGTTTTACGTCATCCTCCATTGTAGAAGATACCAATACTAAGAACAGAAGTACAGAGGAAGGTAAAAATCCCCGGACGTCCTTCTTGCCAGGCCCCAAATATCAAGGATGCATTAGCTGCATCCTCGCCAAAGGAGAACAATCCCATGAGTCACTGCACCACAAGTTCATTCTTGGGAAGCAAATCAGCAAGACCGGTCTTGCCAAGACCACAAGTATGATCTCTGCGTTCTTGGTATTGAGAACCACCCTAAGTACAGTACACGCTGCATCATCAGACCGTGCAATGTTTCATCATAAATACAGAGCAACATAAAAGTATGGAGGCCGGAAGAATAATGTAATTTGAAATAATAATGAAATATGAAAATATGAGAATAAATTATTCAAGAGTACTGTCAGAAATCTCATGTCCCCAAGTTTCTTTAGAGATCGTAATTAGATATTAGATAGAAAGTTCTAACTGGACCAAATTCTTCAGAGTAGTTCAGACTGTAATTTAATAGTCTGAATGAAATTTTTATGTGTTAAAAAAAAAAACAGCAATGATCCATTACATTAATATGGTGGAAATACTGTCAGCATTTAAAGGCATTTTCTCTGCCTTCTTATTGACATTTATAAGCATCACATTAAACGGATGATTAAACCAGGGAATTGCTGCTGGGGGAGGGGGGGGATCACACAGGGGTGGGGGTTCAGTTCTAGCTCCCAGCTTTACACCAGTGGAGTTTGCTCCCTGTGTCTAAGTAGAATTTCCTTTAAATGGGCTTAGGGAACTGGAATTTAGCCCATTGAGTGTGTGTGCCCTGTGATCGACTGGTGTCCCATACAGGGCGCACAGGTAGCCAGAACGTCGTCAATATCACACAGCAGCCCGACTGCGTGCGACATTCAGAGAAGAGGGCTAATGAAAAGCGTGGGGGAGCAGCAGCAGGTGGCGCTGGAGGTGACTGGCAGGGAAGCTCACCCCCTCCATGGGCGCGATGAGCAGGTCGTAGAGGGCGCGGAGAGGCGGCCTGCCCAGGGTGCTCGACCGGCGCGGCAGCGAAGATACGGTCTCCTTGGTGGGTGACACAGTGTTGCTGAACAGGCTGGTCATGCTCTGACAGCTCCTGTGACAGAGGGTGACAGGGGGACACTGCTGGGACACAAAGTGCTGACTCAGCATAGGACATCGGTGTGCTGTATTATTTATACATTGACTTATCACAAGTATATTATGTATGGTGTTTACACATTTAACATCAGGACTTTCCATGGGCTTGGGATGGACTGGTATCCTCTCCCTCCCCAACCCTGTACTGAATAAGCAAATGCAATATTGCAATATTTACATAAGCAGCCGCTATGAAGACTTGATTTACACAAATATATATATGTGTGTGTGTAATATATAAAATATTATATATATAGAATACTGTGCACGTGTTAGGTAGCCAAAGAAAATTAGGTTTAAATGACCTTAATGTTGGTATAAAACTACAATATTAAGTCTGTCAAAGTGTGTCATCTTAGCCATTTCAAAACCTCTTCTAAAATCACCTGTCTTTGCAGCAACCATCCAATACACCCATATGACTCAACAGCTAGCACACCTCATATAGCTAATCAATATCTCACTGACATTTTTTTTTTTTTACTAATTATCCATCCATCCATCCATCCATTAACTACCGCTTGTCTGGGGTTCGGGTCGCGGGGGTAGCAGCTTCAGGAGAGGCACCCAGACCTTCCTCTCCCCAGCTACTTCTACCAGCTCCTCGGGGGGGACACCGAGGCGTTCCCAGGCCAGC